TGTTTGCTGGTCTTGTTAAACTCACTTCAGTTTATGTGTAATGGTTTATAAGGGTGGTTATTATCCTTATTACTATGTTTGTTTGTTTCTTTTTAGTAAGTAATGTTATTGGTTCTTCCAGCCTGTCAGTGAAAAGTTTGTTTGTTGTCATTGTTATTACCGTAAGTGTCCATCTACATCATTATCTTACGCTTTTCTTGTGTTTCCTCACCGTCTCCCTTTCTTCCTGCCTACAGTAGACTCCTGTTGACATTCGCTTGTGTATGCGAGTGAGAATAGACAGGAGTAGTACACAATTCTTGAGGTTAGCCACCAATAAACGAAGATAAGAAAGAGTGTTAATCATGGATAATGGCTGTCAGTGGAATCCAGAACATGCGTTTCGTCCGATTCCGGACTCATCAGCTGGATGTACCTTCAATCAAATGAGTGATATTACTCCCATTAAGACTTAATTCCAGGACAAGTCGCTTCAGACAACAGAGCTTTAATTACAAGCTGTCGCAAATAATAAGCGTAGGAAAGATTATTTCGGTTGATTATAAGTTTTCCAAGTACATTGTACCACTCAATATCACTAGTCTCTAAGTATATTTAGACCTGGCCAAGAATCAATTCTCCATGGTGCACATTCTATCATATTGGCACCCGATCCATCATACATAGATGTCTTTACACTGATCTTTGTTCCCAGTGATATCCAAAAATGGTATCCAGATCTTAAAATACCATAAGGGTGTTATTTTTTCTTGCTGTTGGTGCTGCCGATTTCTAACTGTTTTCTTTCACTTAATCTAATCGATAGACCATTGTGTACCACAAAGCCTTCGTGAATGGAAGCCTAAATATAGTTCTCAGATTCATTCTGACATTATTCAGTCCTTGATGGCATTCGAATGACTATTCGCTGAAGAAGCTCCATTTAAAAAGCTCGGACCTAACCTGTTGTTGTCAACCTTGCTTTACTTTGATAATTTCATGACTTCTTTACCCTCTGAGCTTCTATACCATTTTCTTTTTCGATCTATTTCACAATCTATTCTCACTCTCTGAGTTTTATTTATCTTATTACTCAACATGATAAAACGTTTTTGACCTTTTATTACGCTTCCTCAGCCGTTATGTCATTTTTTCCGCTTGTAGAATAAAACTCAGGACAACCCCCTCCAATTTATGTATGTACATGACCCTTTTAGAATATAACTCATTGGGTTATGGTTCGTCAGTTTAGGGAGTTGACTACCAGTCTGCAAATCATGGGTTCGAACACCGCTCCACCCGCCGAGGTTTGGGGAGCCAAGTAATATCACTAGCCGTCACCTAGTAGGTGTGGTTCATTGCCTACTGAAAAAGGGAGTACAAGGTTCCTGACTGGATTTCGACTTTGAGAACATTATCCTACTTCCATCATCCAGTGATATGTAATGGCCGTAATGTACACGAAAACACGTTCCGAGCAGCAACTGTAGTTGGAAAACCATTTTTTCCAGCTAATGTAAACTATTCCTACGACTGAGCTTACGCTGTAAGTTGGTCAGTCTCGTACTATGTCTTCTAACGTCTAGCTAGAAACACCAACATGATTTACTTCAACTTACAATCATGAAAACCAACTCCAATCATAGATGAGTAGATTCAACAGTTGACTTCTCTGATTGGTCAGTACAGAGTAATCGGTTTCACGATAACTAGCCTTAAATGCTGACCAGTATCTGTCAGTAATTATGCAATGTCATACGCAGACTAGGAAATTCATCACTATGGTGCACTTGGATTGGTGTTAGTTGGCTGGAGGCATTTATCATGAACCTGTGAATCTAGGTATTATGTCTAATACCTCTAATCTAGTCCTACATCAGGTTATTTGATGCCTGAACACCTCAGTGATTATCTCTCTGACTGCAGCACAGAATGACGTCAGTTAAGTTAACTTTGCGGACATAAATCACCTCGAAGTTGAAGGCCTTACTGAAGAGTGCCATCAATCAGGAAATCTAGATCAGGCAAGACTTTGAATCGATCACCTCTAGCCATTAAACATCAGTTAGTCTTTTCTGTAGTTCAAGAATGAAGCCTTTTACTGCTTCATGTGATTTAAAACAATTGAAATCAACATAACTTCACTTTGCTTCTGAGCATAAATGCATGCCTAAATAGCAGAAACGTTCTCGAGTAAGGCGTAGTCAACTTACAAAAGTTCCTCTGGTTAGTCATGGTATGATACACAGTATGTATTATATATATGATGTGTTCCTAGACACTATTGTAAGATGAATCAAACGTGGAATGGAAACCTCAGTGGCAACAATATTCACACCGACAACCTCTGTACTACCAACCAAATACTCTGTCGACTGAGGTTTAGTGATCAGCTACCAGGGAGATATCAAGAAGTCATTTGAACTTCAGTCATCTCTGCTCTATAAATTAAAGATAGTCTATCCACTCGAATTAACTCAGATAATTTAATCAAACAGAATATCTTTTCTGTCCAGAAATGTTATGGGTAAAATCAAACTTTAGTCACAGGAAACCTTGAAGATGACTAATCAGTTTGTGGATGCTGTGTTCAAGGTGATTCCTTACATCCGTTTAAAATGCCGTTGACTCTGGATTAACTCATGAATTTCAGCAAAGATTACGTTGTGGACCGGTTGCAGAAAGTTGGATTGCCCACGAGAAGTTTCAGTTGTAGAATGCTCAGTTTGAAATTTGATTTACACATTGCACTATCCACATTGACATTTTTCACAGATGAGTAGATTCTAACTACCCAACTGTGGTGTTAATAAGGTTCCCACTGGAAACCACTTAGGTGAGATCACATGGTATGATTTCTGATGCAAAATTTCATAAACTAGGGAAATATAGTGGTATTGAACAACTTGATTAGTTAGAAACCACTCAGACTGATTTGTAGTATTTCTTCAGCCAGATCAGAATAGTATAAACACCGGACAGCTGTTTCGCACTTAAATATGAATGTGATTTTGTAATGTCTTGTATACCTAACAGTGAGAAAAGAGATAGTTTGGTCATTCGATGTTCCATCTGCTTCAAGAAGAAATCTGTGAGAAAAGGATCATTTACCAAAGGGTCGCATCTATCTATGTAACAAATATTGATTTTATTACTACATTGAATTGTTGGAACACTCGTAATATCAGTAGCAGCTGCGACAGATATCAGTGAAGTTTCTTTATTGCAGTGGTATTAGCACCGCAGAAATATTTCCTCCCGAATAATGTGCAGGTTGGGTGAGAAGTTTGGTGGAACAGATAAACTGGTGGAAGGAGATCGATGTCTTGTTCAGAAATGTAGGTATAGCCGAGGAGAAAGACTCAAAAAGGACTGGGTCAGTTATATACGTAAGTCAGATTCTCGGTATTTACGACCGAAATGCATAGAGAGAACACTTTCAGTGGATAAAGCATAGATCAGAAGATTCTATCCTACCAGTTATAGAAAATGGGTTTCTAAGACCCTCAACATGATGAGGGGATATGTTATTCTCTCATTCGGATGAGTGGCAATATAGACACTAGTGTAGTTTCAAAGATGAAAAACCTGTTGAAAATGTACTTATTTCTATTTCTAATGTGATACAGGTTTATAATTCGTAAATAGGATAACATTTTCCTGAGTAGTTATGTAGTCATTCATATGTTCGAATTTGATTGGCCAATGCACACTGGGACGTGATTGGCTGTTACTAAGGTTGTGACACAAATGAACTCGTCCATAGTATGAAATATTAACGGGTGCTTTACTACTATTATACATTAGCCTATTGACTAATTTGGTTGCTGTACGAAATTCTTTTGGTAGTTCATTGAGTTAGTAACACTAAGTCTAGGTTTAATTGTTCCAAAGCAAACAGTTGTCATTAGCTTAACATATAACTAGATGACAGTAATATGCTGTAAAGCATATTCTATTGATTTTTTATGGGACATGGGTTGATTTATAATACAATGTGGTTGATATTTCCTCAACTTTACAACAAAACATGTCACTACACTAGAACATAAGAGATATTCATTCAAGTTACTTTCAGTGGATGGCTTAGTAAAAATACCAAATTTGAGTGTATAAGAAAGTAGTTCTGAGTTTAAAATCAAATTTTTCCTGAGGTGCAACTAATTGCAGCAGGTAAGTTCTTTATCCATAAAACTCCATTTATGTCTCCTAGCTGGCAACAGAAACTAGTTAAAACATCCTTTAAAACGCATTCAAGTTACCACGAATGATAAATATTCAGTAGTTTTGAGGGAGTTGTGGAGATTTGGGAATATTTCAAGTTGTTATTCATTGCACACTGACATCAGTTGGGGGAACAAAGGAAACCTGGGAGCACTAGATAGCTGTTTCGTCCTAGTATGGGATTCCTCAACAGTGCGCACCCACGGCCTCACCAGGGATCGAACCCACGACCTTCAGGTTCCGTGGCCAGCACGTTGCCATTGATTTACTGGGTCAGAATCCGATGGTCCATATTTCCAACCTCGATCCCTGGCGGGGTCGTGGGTGCGCGCTGTTGAGGAGTCCCGTACTAGGACGAAACAGTTATCCAGCGCTCCCAGGTTTCCTTTGTTCTCCCACCTGATGTCAGTCTACGATGAATAACAAATTTAAATACTCAGTTGTCAAATTCTTTGAAACAGCCAATCAAATGAAGTCAATTTCATTCACACTTAATGAGGTTTTAACATTTCTGTCACAAATCTCGTGACTTTTAAGTAGGTCACATGATCACGTCCTACTGACCAATCCAATAATCCGCCTACAACCACTCTGATAATTTAGCCAATCGATTAGGTACATGCTGACCTTGATAAAACCAATCCATTTATTGTACTAACTGAAATATCTTCACATTTCTAACTTCACCAGAGTCCAAGATGGACCCTAATTTTTCTGATCTTTCAGCGTGGAATTTAAATAATGCACAACAGACGAATGCAGGTTATCCGGGTTTACCTTCTGGAGGATATCCAAACATGCCATCTGGAGGATATCCAAACATACCATCTGGAGGATGTCCAGATTCTTCTATGGGCGGTTTTGCAGGCGTAAGTAATTCAGGCTATCCTGTAGCGCCAGGAGGATATATGGCGCCCACTTCTAGTGGATTTCCTGAACAGTCATTAGGAGGCTATTTTGGTGGTGCACCTTGCAGTGCTCCCGGCGGCTTTCCTGATCAGCTTCTCAACACGCCAAGTGCTCCGTATGAACCTCAGCCAAACTTCTCGAATGTTCCTTATGGTTGTATGGAATCGAGAGCTCCATATGTGCCAGGCACAGCCTCCTACCAAACAGATTACGTCAGCAGAATGCAAACTCCTTATGCGGCTGGGAATCCTGGTCCACAAACACTGCAAACAGATTATTTACCATCTCCGTCAAATCGTTCTTTCATGGGAGATACAGTAAACCAAGGCAGAGATTCAGTATGCTCTATGTTCAATGATTTTCCTGCTCCTATTGCATGCCAATCTACAGGCCTATCTGGGGCTTCCAGAGTTTTTGGTTTCGCTGAATCAGCACCTCATGAAGATATAGTATGTTTTTGTCCTAATCACTGTTTTAAACATTTCAAACAGTTTACATTATTTTACACCGATTTCTGGTAGATTAGCCACTCATTTGATTTTATATTGCAAATCTTGAACTAGGCTATAGTGGTATAACGAAATTTGTCACAGTGCATTTTTTCATGCATTTAAACCAACTTTAGAGAGACCATGAACCTCATTTTATTCCAGTATGATTGTTTTTATATGATATCGTCGTTGATTGAACCGAATTGATCGGTCTCTATTAACATATGAGCTCCTGTGCGAACACCTCGATATTGCCTGTGTTCTGATTATCTTAATGATGGATCGTGGCTAGCAGTGGAATCTCGGTGGGAACAACATCACTCACTGGGAAGCAGGTACATCCAGCTGACGAGTCCTAAACAAGACGAAATGCGCATCCTGGATTCCACTGCTAGCCACGATCCATCATTTTATTCTGTTTAAGACCTGCTGATCAACAACTCTTGTCTATCTAATCAACCTCTAATTATTCTAGTATCGAACCAGATATCAGCCTAAGTGCATAGTCCATCTACTTATAAACATTTTGCGGTAGAGTGCTAAGGTGTATACACATAAACCATTTTGGTTAATCGTGCATAAAGATGCATCAGTTGAAGTTAGCAGAATCTACAATAGCATAGAAATAAAATCTATAGGACTGGAGAGATACTGGAATCAAAGTATGCCTTCTCACTAATAAATTGAGTTATTTCTAAACGTATCAAATAATGAAGAAATATTTACTACAATATGTTTTCAACACAATTTATTGTCCATAGTCGTATCAAGATAATTCCACAAATTTGACATATATTGTGGAGATCCACTTTCTTCTAGCTTGGAACGTTTGGATTCAGTAGAACCAACTTGATTCAATGCAAACTGATTGAGTATTCTAGTAATAGGTCTTATTTTTTCTCTTTGGAAAACTTTCCAATAAGCTTAAAGATAACGATTATGTTGTATGTATGAAACTTAAGTAGTTGGAAATCATGATGTGCATGATGTGTTGATTTCACTAGCCAGATGAGTTTGAATGATTTCTGACTTCTCAGGTTGTTCAGTATTATACTTCACGAGTTGATGGGACTTTTGGGTTAGAAGTCATATCTTGTGATCTTAGCTGACTGGTGGTTTCCAACGGAAAGCCTTTTCACACCACAGTTAAGCAATTGGGTAACTTCTCTCATAAGTGAGAGATGTGAAGGTGGACTGTTGAAATTGTAAATCATTTGTAAGAGGGCGACGTTGTATACATGGTTTATAGAAATCTATTGAAGTCAAGGAAGTCATCAAGTGATTTCAAGGGCATATTAAGAATCGTCTTATGGAATGTGGGATGAAACTACAGTTCAGGAATCTCTTCAATCGAAATGGTCATTGAGTCTTATGGTCTATTGTACAAATGGAAAGGTTGTAAGTCTGTGAAATGGAGAAGTTTTACCAGTATTATTGTAGGAAGAGGGTTTCTGTGAAACACTTATTGTTTTCACTCTCAACTAAGTCATCGAGATAGATCATATAGGGTATAGTAATGTATGTGTAAGTGATTTACTGCCTCAAAATATATCACCAGTGAGCATTGGACTAGTATTAGCAGAATGTTTCCCAGTCGATTTCGATTGTGGATAGTTGCCTTTAAACGAATCAATCATATTGTAGATCATTAGTTGAGTTCGAATAAAGTGCTTATGTATGATGCTGATTGGAATATAACGAATTCAACTAACCACTAGTAGTCATTATGTTCAGTGGTCGCTGTGGAGGGTGATTTATGGTAGTATGGACTGTGTTAGAGTGTAATTCCATGTTTATTGATTTATTATATTGATGGCACAGTAAATGGAGAGAGAGTATTGTTTACTGGATAACGTTTTGGACACAATCTATTGTGCATAGTGATATGAAGATAACTAGTACATGGATGTCAGGAAGTTGTAATGAGAAGCCGTGACCTGTGGGGTCAACCAGTCTTAAGTGAAGTGGATGCTAACTGAAGACGTTGGATGACAGTCGCGCTGTGTCGTAAATTGACAGGAGTTTGAAGTTGTGAACCAGTGGAAAGGGACCCAGTGGCTGAATGGTTAACGCATTCGCCGTGAAGCCTGAAGGTTCCGAGTTCGGTCCGTAGCCGGATTGTGGGTGAGTACTGTTGAGGAGTTAGTTCGATACTAGGACGAAACAGCTGTCGAGTGCTGCCAGATTTTCAATGGTTCCCTAACTGATGTCAGTCCATGATGAATACTACTTCTAAATTAAAAATCCCCATTCATGTCAAAAATACATAACTACTACATAAGTTTGAGATATTCTTTCTATAGTCCTAATTTCCTCACCCGTTTTGTGATGATATGGATTATGTGTTGATTCTATCAAGAAAGATTCAGTTATCAATCTCTCCCTGGAACGTTGGTGTGTTAGTTTTAAGCATTCTCACCCTATCCCATTCTCTTTTTATGGTTGTGTTCAAGTGTAAGCATAGCTGTGGCTGAGCGTTTCACTAAATTCCTTATCTCATTAGGATCTACCAATTTTGATTTTTTCGTTGGGATAGCCTAATTAACTTCAACTGGGCCGCTTTGCCTTATATATTTGACCTTGGACTCTTTACTGGGGAATCAGCAAACTAAGTTATTTTGTCTAATTGTCCGTTTTAGCTCCACTGTAATCCCTTCCTTATTAAGAATTCTTCGTAACGTTTCTGTGGCGCATTCTTTTTATGGCAGGTGATGCTGCGAAGGTTTTGAATTTTCGTTTCACAGTATTGCCACTATCATTATTAATATTATTGTTACTGCTATTAACGCCTGTGTTACTAGTATTAGTGGTATTTTTCTTACGATTACTAAGGAATTTATCAACTAATTTAGACGTGTAGTTGTTGATGAGCAAGGTGTACCTAATGTAGCTGATTTCTTGTCTTAGATCTTGTTTTCCTAGTAAGTTTTCTGAACCTGTTACTTAGACATTTTGCCAAGCTAACTTTAACTGACATAGGGTGAGACGATTTGAAGTCTAGGTAACGATTTGAATGTGAAGGTTTTCTGTAGACACTAGTGTCTAAACTCCTATCTTGTTTTCGTTTTATTCTGCAATCCAACTCTTCACCATTTTTTTCAATTCATAGGTGATTTGGATTGCATTGACTACTGAATTTCTGTGTGTAAACACACTGTGTATGTGTTTGAATTTTGATACTGTGAACGTATCATCTACACATCGAAACCCCATTCATTTGGAGCAGGTGCAAATGTTTCCACGACCAGTCGTTCTAAACTATTCATAAATATGTCTGCGACGATAGGGGATATTGGTGACCTTATTCTGAAACTTAAAGATTGTGGAAGTTAGGCGTAGCTGTACTTTTAACATGATCTAATTTAATGCTACCTTGGTTCGTAGTGTAAGCCTGTGGTCTTTATTGAGCTCATTTCCAAGTGCTTCCAGAACCATGTCAATCAGCATATTAGTATAAGAACTGGCTACATCAAAACTAACCATCTTTTCATTGGCATCTAATGGCATATCATCTAATCTAAGCTTCAAGTCATAACAGTTATTAAGTCTCGATTTAGAACGGTTTCTACTTAGACCTAGTACCATCGCTAAATATTTGGATAATTCATAAGTAGGAGTGTTTCCTTAGTCTACTAAGGATGCAATAAGATAACCTGGCTTGGGATTATTAGTTTTCAGCATTATATTTAACCGTTTTAATGATAACATAGGTGATAGAGCAACGTAGAAACCTCCTATAGGTATTTATTTTAGTGATAAGTCGTGCTCAAGAGTGACAGTTAGAGTATTTTTGAACTCATAGTAGAGTGGTTAGTAATGATCTGACAGCATTCACGTAAATAGAAGTAAAATCTTAGCTGATTTTTCTCCAGAAATTTACTCTGAGATTGTATTCATCTTCTTTAGACAGAAATCCAAGTTATTTTTGTAGCCCATAACAATAATATAATCTATCTTAAAATATGATTCAGCCAATGAAAAGACTTTTATCTAACTAAGACTTAACCTTTTTATCAGACTATCTAACTTAGCCTCGATATGCAGAATGGTCTTTGTGTAAGAGAACAATAATCGAAGGTAAAAGTAAACTTTAGTTGCAGTAATAGTCAGACAAGTACAACCTCGGCAACCAGCTTAACGCACTACTGACTAAGCCATTATGTTTTATTCTTAGCCAAATGTTAGTTTTGCTTCAAGTAGTAATAGTTTTGAAGTTATCATATGAATCGGTGGCTCATAACTGTCTCTTCATCATCAGATACATCTCATTCGAATTGAAATCTGAACGAACTAGAAAAGAAAAGAAGGTAACTAACTGACTGTGTTCTTACGTCGAAGATACGATTGGAAGGTGAAATTATGACCCAGTTAGCAGTTGGACCTCGTATCCAAGTTCACAGAGCATTCAGCCAGCAATCCAGAGACTATTGGCTCTAATTCTGTCACAACTTAAGTTTCCATTTCAACCTCACTCATTACCTACGTAACTATCAGTATATTTGATATTAAGATTCTTGGGCCTACTGTTCTACTTGGTACACTGTTAAGTAAACAACTGCCGTGTTAGTTATCAAGAGCCAATCGGTAGAAGACAACGCCACAACTAGGCTGTGCGGTTATTCTAACGATTGATAGTGGCTAGCAGTGGAATCCAGGATGCGCATCCTGTCCTATATGGGACCCGTCACCTGGATGTGCCTGCCTTCTAGTGAGTGATGTTGCCCCCACCGGGACCGACCGCTCCAAACGTTGGCGAGTTATCCACTATACCACCGACCCATGACAATCATTATTATTTCGTCGTTGATTGAACCGAACTGATCAGTCTTTATTGGCATATTGGCTCCTGTATGGATGCCTCGATATTACCTGTGTTCTAATTATAGTAATGATGGATAGTGGCTAGTAGTGGAATCCAGGATGTATGATTATTCACCTGAATAGCTTAATGAAAAAGTATACGGATTGTTGACCGATGCAACTGTTTAGTCCCAAACGGTCAGTACTGACTGAAGTTTGTTTTTCAGTCTCGTAATATGGCGATTAGGCTAAGTAAGGTGACACTACAGCGCACTGTATTTTGGTGTTGATTGTCAAGAAGCCTATGAATTAGCTCAGTAGTAAAGAAACTGACTAATGCATATACTGACATGCGTTTGAATATGCTATATAACATGAGTTATCTCAAAATGACAGATACTCCTTACTGACTATTACCAACATGTGTACAACCTCAGTTAAACAAGAAATTTTGTCGAGTATGGTATGCTTCAACATGAAAAATAAGTTGATATCCAGGTAATGAATTTATTAAGTAGTGATTTTGTTTTATTTCAAAGTTATATCTGTTAAGCTATAAATAAGCATAGAATCTATCACTTACAATTTACTTACATGTTAATACATTTTTCTTGATAGAGGGAACCAACTTTAAAACCTGCAACCGATTTCTGTGTTAAACGAGATTGTGATCGTTTAAAGAAAGCAATGGCTGGAATTGGTGCAAATACAAAGGAGGTGATTGCAGTGATGGGTCATCGATCAGTAGAACAACGTATAGAGATTGTACAAAAATATAAATCTATGTTCGGAAAAGATTTATTTGCTAAATTTAAATCTGAATTACATGGACATTTAGAAGATTGTGTAATAGCATTGTGTTATTCTCCAGTGGAATTCGATGCAGTAGAACTTCGTAGAGCAATGAAAGGAGCTGGTACAGATGAGGATGTATTAATTGAAATCCTTTGTACTCGGACAAATGATCAGATAAGAAGAATCAGAGAAGCATATCCAAGATGTAAGTTTTATATAGAACCTATCCGGTAGTCTAACGGCTTCTTATGCATTTAAAACATGTTGAGAATGTTGCTAGTGAATAACTAACCATACTAATAACATTTATAATACTCTAATCACTTTTCAGTTTCACTGACAAGAGGAAGTAACATCACCTAGATATCGGTTGCACATAATCTCTTACTGGTTATTTGATCGGGTCTGAATTATAATTACCTTACTCTCAGTACTGAGACTATATGAAATATCGAAATGCAGCCAGTAACCTTTTTGCAAATCCATGCAGTAGGCAGTGAGTGACACATGTTATGTGAAGGCTAATTGTGCTACCTGGCTGCTCAAACCTCAGCAGGTAGGTCGGGGTTCGAACTCATGATCTACTGGTTAAAAGTCAACTGCCTGAGCCAATAAGCCACTGGTCCTCTGTAGAAAAAACATGTGTTTCATGTCACTTTCGGGACTAGTCTCGCTGCTCTTCACTCATTCTTCTTGACTGAGGTAAAAGGATTTCAAGGAACAAACTTTCTAGCCAATAAAACGTGGTTTAGCCACTGGGATAGTCAAGCTAACCATTCCAACAATGTATTAGCTGAATTCTCGACTAAATACTGGTTTACAACGTTTTACTATCATAAATTATCAGATAAATACACAAGTGGTCATAATGTTAACCAATTAATGTGATATATTTGTATAGAGAGTTACTAGAGTAGTGGACGAACAAATTCTCCAGTTGGAGAATTTTTTTGTCGAGTCCTCTGAATCCTGTTTACTCATCCTCTTCATCTTAAGAGTTGAATGACGGATGAGGTGTGTATCAATATCCAGAAGATGAGTGGGATGATCCAACTATGTAACTTCTCTGATTTTTCACTTGATAAATTCTGTTCATCCTAAAGTGCGGTTTTCATGTGGTCAGATCTTTAGCCTTAAAATGAATGACAGATCATTTTAATCATTTTCTATTGTGAATGTACTTTATCCTTGAACAAGCTTACTAATAATATTAAACGCATTTGTATGCGATCACGAAATTCACGATGAATAAGTTTCAGAAAATAAAATATACAATGCACTTTTTTATTATATCAGTAAATTTGTTCGAATGATTGAAGTAATGATGAAATTCTTTTAGGAGACAGTTTTATTCACTTAAATTGTTGACATTGGGTTATTGTTGAAGATGAAATAAAAACCTAGTCTGATCAGCGGCAAGATTTAAACCAACCACCCTCAGATTATCAACCAGGCGGTTTACCACCATCAGCCATCACCTGGTATCATTGATACCAGCCTGGCAATCTCAGAAAGTACCATAAACAGTTAATACGGTTTTCCTCCTTTCTAATTTAGATCGATTTAGAGTGAGATGCTAAAACCTCAGTGGGCAACCAATCTGATTACAGTACATGGAGGGTTATGTATCATAGATTCACACAGTAGCCGGACAAAACCCTTGCTGACTTCAGTAAAGTCAAGACCTAGTCAGTAGTTGGGTCTCGCAACTCAGATGGTAGACTAGCAGGCCAGCAGTTCAGAGGCCACTAGTTCAAATCCTTCTACAATCCAGACTTTTATTTCACCTTCAACCACTACCTCATTTCAATAAAACACATATCTGTCAAGCCTTTTCTGTCTCACATAGTCATATCAAGACCGAAACCATATCGATCAAATTTTAAAAGAATGATACAATGGTGTGTCTATGCACTCTAAGTGGTTAAATTCTGCATAAAATGCATAAGAAGTGGATCCAGGGTATGTTAAATAAACTAAGCTATGCGTGAAAACGACACTAGTTTACTTCTTACCGAAATGAATCAAGTGCCTAACACTAAGAATAATGTGACCATTGGAAGTTTAGTAAGTTTTACACTATTTCCAGAGTCTCTGCACATTATGTCAGGTATTTGGATAGAACTGTGTACGGTTATCAAACTAGGCAATAACATAGAAGAAGAAAGCCATCGGAAACATAATGATATTACAGTCAGCTGAAGGATGCATAAGCGAAGTTGGGATAAATGGTGCTTTAAAATAAAAGTTTATTTTTGAGCTATCACTGAAGTTCTCCAACCATTCATTCATCTCGATCGCCCTAGACGTGCTCTGAAACTTCTGCATGCAGCTTAAATTATGGGTTAGAGACTTCACTAACCAATACTATGCGTTGTTCATGCCAATTTTATCTTTGATCCAATCGAATCCAAGTGACTTTGAAGACTATCCTAGCAGCTGCTGAAATGACCAATCAGGTTTCTTTATTTCGACTGGAAAGGGAGATCCTCATAATATCAGGATACCTAATTAATTATTTCAGTTATTAGGATGACCTTGAGAGTAACTCATCAAATCCTATTTCGGCTGGCATAGAATTTCTTCTTATCAGTAGTTGTCTCTTTGCTATCTTATCATTGGCTAATCTAGATATTCCAGAATACAAGAGGTTTGTCACAACTGGAATAACTGAGCTCCTCTGGTTTTAAGCCTTTTAAACACATCATTTCAGTTATCTCGAAAACATTTTGCCTTTGCATCGGAACTTAGTACGAATTACTAACCATGTGTAAGTTCATACACTAGGCTATAAGATACATCTGTTGTCCCCCTAGCCTCGTTAGTTGTCGAGTACTGAAGTTTGTATAGAGCATGATCTGTAAATGCCTTAATGGAATTTTCTGACTACTAAGAAAACCTTTCAACTTATTTAACTGAACTAATACACCAGGTTACCTTGTTATGTGCAACTAATGTATATGTTTTTTCAGACATAAATTATGTTTTCAACAGTATTTGTATCTATGTTGTTGGTTGGGATTTCCCGTTGTTCCAACCACTGACGGGAAAGAAGCAGTAACAAAAAAAACTGTACTCGTCGCACAAGCGGTAGTCTCTTTCACTTAGTGGCCTATTGAATAGCGCTCTGGTTTTCAAGGCGACCGATCCCCGGCTCGAGTCTTAGCAGGGACAACACCACTCACTGGGAGGCAGGTATATTCAGTTGATAAGTGCTAAAATAGGATGGAACGCATGTTCTGGATTCCACTGCTAGCCACTATCCATTACCTTGCATTTCCAAAGTTGATTATTCATAGAATATTGCTGTCATCCAAAAATTGATATTTAGCGCTATGTTAAACAACTAACATGTTAAGGTAACATTGGGGTCAGTCTGTTTGTAATCAACTGAAATAAATTTGGTAGCCATATTTTTCTTTATTACCTTAATATTGCTTAGTTTAACTTCTAGAAGACTTTATGATGATAAATTTGTCATTAGTAGAGATAATGATTGTCTCATCATTCCAATGGGGATTACAATGACGTTGAGGAATCAAATCCATAGTATATTGTATGCATGTATGCATCTTCCAGTTAGAGAGTTCAACTTATGATTGTCTTTAAATTGTAAGTTAATCTGTACCAAACCACAACATAAGAGATAACAACGATACTGGATGATGATGACTGATGATGAAATGAGAATTTGCGCCGCGGCCGGATTTAAACCAGCGACTACTGGGTTTCTGACCCAATGTTCTATTAATTGAGCTACGAGGTCCAACTGCTTACCAGATAGCAATGACTTCAGTTTCATCAGGTAATTTCAATTACTGACTGCTTTTAAGAGGTCAAAAATCTTCAGATACTATTATTGACAAGTGTATTTCCTTTCAGTTGGGGGTGAGAAACTATGAATCATACAACCATAGTAATAGATAGTCATTTTCTATTCTACACAAATTTCTCTTATAAGAAATTCTCATTCAGAAAGAATAGAAGAGTAGATAGTTATGAATCTACTATTCAGATAATTTGACACTTTACCTTTTCGGCTACTCATAACTTATCTTCTTAATTCCTTGAAATAGGTTACTTTGGTGTGTTCACTAATCTAGTTCGCAGCAGATACTTCTTAGTAAGTTTAGAACAGAAACTAATTGTTGGATTAACTGGCGAATTATTGCTTGATGTTTAGCTTCTCAGGTCCAGTGATATGTCTACTCAAAGTTATCAACTTAGTCTAAACAAAACCTCTTAAGGAAGAGTATTGATGTTTCGTTTGGGTATTATTAACGCACTGACAGTTTGTTAACTAGTTGATTGACGGCAATCATCAAGAAGCTATACTCGGTTTAGGTTTCGTGCTTGTCGACACTCATCAGGAACACGTATCAGCAACTTCAAGGAGACTTAATAACCATTGTGAGGTTAAAACCCACTTTACCCAGTGTTGCAGTCAGTGACGTTACCAGTGAGCTATTAGAGCCGCGATTTACCTCCTGTTATAAACCAACCAATCTCATGTTGTCTAGTTCTTAGTGCCAGCTGAATTCTGTCAATCGTTTCGCAATATGACCACCAAGTATAGGAGGTATCATCATTGCAATGCATTTTGATGGATGTTAGTTAGTTGCAGGTAGGCCTTGGTTGACCTACTGATTAGTGTCATAGTAAACTACAGACGTTTTGTACTAGCCTCAGTGTTTGTGTGCATGTCAGTATAATCTGTATTTTTTAGCCTATAACTTTTACTAAACGTATAGCTCTGCATTAAAGATTCCAATTCATATATCCTCACCAGAAGTTCTATCTAAAGAAATTAGTGTGTGACCATTTATTTTTGATGCATCATTGCATCAAACATATTCAAATTCATGGACTTCACGTGGGATTACAAACACGTCAGTTACCATATTCCATATCACACAGACATTATCAGCCCAGAGACTTTTAATAGTGAGTAACACTTCAAATTGTGACATTTTAGACCAGCACATTAAGATCGAATAGAAGGCGAGAAAAAAAGAACAACCAAATAAGTTCACCTGGCCATACTACAGATTGTTTCTTCAGACTATAACATTGATCCATAAACAGAAAGAGAATTATTATCATTATTATTATTATTTGTCCCTTGGGTTCCTAATGGAACATTGGGCTTCAGTAGCACGTCTCCAGTGAACTCTGTTCTCTGAAATCTTTTGAACCTGGCTTCACGACAGCCCACAAGCTCTCATTTCCTCCTCTCACGATCTTCCCCATGTCACCGTCGAACGCCCAACTCGTCGCTTCCCATCTGGGTTCCACTGGAGGGCCTGGCCTGACGCGTGATGTCCCCAGTCGGCCTTCTCAGTGTATGCTCGACCCAATCCATCTCCACTTCCTTCCAGTGTATATTTGTTGAGTGATAGATTCTTGCTTCGTTGGTTCGTTCCCAGAGCTCCTTGTTGCTTATTATTCTGGCCATCTGATCTTCAGTAGCGAGCCAGAGTAAGTAGTTGTCGATGAATGCCTGTAGTTTGTTGGAAATCCCTTTCGTAACGCACCAAGTCTCTGAACCATACAGAAGCACTGACTTGACGTTGGTGTTGAAAATCCAGATCTTGTTCCACATGCTGAGTGCAGAAGATCTCCACACTGGTTTCAGGCTAATGAAAGCCTGTCTTGCTTCTGCGATTCTGCCTTTGAAATCCTCGTCTGTACCACCTGTAGTTGAGACTGTGCTGCCTAGATAGGTGAAAGAGGTTACTTCTTTTAAGTTTCTCCCGTTGATGGTGATTGGAGTTTGTTGTTGTTGCTGGAGTTGTTGGTGCGGTATCTTCATCAACTCTGTCTTCTCTATATTCACTTGAAGTCCCTTCTTCGCTGCCTCTTCTGTCAACTTGTTAGTTTTCGCCTGTAGGTCTCCCAGTTTGTGCGACATTGGATATAAGTCATCAGTAAAATCTAAATCTTCTAGGTTCTTTTCCCCGGTCCAGAAAGAGAATAATACGACGTAGTAGTGGTACAGGAATATGATTATAGCTCAAGGTGATGAGAATTTGGATAAAAGGAGGAGAACAGCAGAGATATTGTGTAAAGTTTATGAATGTAATGATAGAAGAATGAGTTCAATGCATTTTACATTCATACAGAGTAAATAATAACAATAAAAATCTTAGATAATTTTCAAATCTGTACACCATTTTGTACATTTATGGTTTAATATCATATCACTTTTCTCTAATTGTTTTAATCAATCAATTACATTCAGTGTTCAGTGGTCGTGATTTAGAAAAAGATGTGAACAATGATACTACACATCATTTTAAACGTATTTGTATTGCACTATTACAAGCAAATAGAGATGAATCTACATTTGTAGACAACAATCTTGCACGAAGAGATGCTGAAGATTTATATAGAGCAGGAGAACAAAAAGTGGGAACAGACGAATCAAAGTAAGTCCATTATTTTTATCCATAATGTGAATATGTATACTCTAATAAAGATGGCTTATTGGTTTTCCAATTCAGCCGTGAAAGCTGATAAACGAAGGTGGAGACTTGTACAAAAATCTGTAGATTCCGCTTCAATTGGATCCTTGAAAGGATAAAATGCGGATATCTATGAATGCATAGCTAATTAATTTCCCCTGAAACCTCACAGGAACTTGATTGGTTTTTAGTGTTTTCAGAGATTTCTAATTTATTCAAAGGTCTATGGAATAAATGTCACACATTCTGCAAGAAACGAGATTAGTTTCACGTATGCTGTTACAGTAAACAATAGTTTGCTGCTTAATGATGACTAATCTTCAGATAAATCTTCTGGAGTTTCAAACAGCAGTAGTAATTTGTGTCGTCGAATTAGCCGCGAGTCAGCGAGAATGGATACATACTGTTATATGGTTCTGAAATCGTGTTATATCACTTACTAGCTGAGTGAAACTCAGGCATACTCACCGGCCAGTGGCCGACGTGCCATATTTTTTGACTTGAAAGCGGCAGTCGACTCTGTCGCGCCTGAGGTGTTGTGGTAGTGTCTAATTGTAAAAGGCGTATCGAGCAAATATATAATGCTAATCAAAGCTCTCTACACAAACTCATGCAGCCGTGTAAGGGGTTATGAAGAGTTGCCATCAGAATTGACAACAAATAGTAGTGTCCACTAAGGAGGCCCATTGTCACCTTTCCCGTTCAGCTTCGCTATGGACGTACTAATAGACATAACATTACGTAAATTTCAACTTCACAGGGATTGACTTCCGCTCTGAGTGATATCTAGTTGACTTATAGTACACAAACGATATTGTCGTGTTAGGTGAAGATATTGACAAAATGCAAGGTCCTCTGAAAGTGTTGAGCAGAAATCTGAGTATGTTTGGCATATGTTTCACACCTGCTAAGTGTAAGATGATGTTTCCGAACTAGTCTGCTGCAAGTACTCCCAGTTTAACGATAGAGAGTGAAATGGTGAAATGCGTCGACCAGTTCACTTACTTAGGGAATTGCACCAGCCCGAACAGGCTGGTTGTTGGTGAAATTTTAGCTCGGATACAGAAGTCCTTTTCGGCATTTGCCAACTTGCATCACCGTGGCACCGACTGGTGAGATACCCGACTACCTATCAAAGGACGAGTATACTGTGTTGCAGTTCGTTGTGTCGTGTTCTACGTCTGTGAGACATGGCCACTGAAAGCAGAAGGTATGAAATGGTTAAAAGTGTTCGATTACAGGTGTCTTCGTAGCGTCGCTCGGATTTGGTGAAACCACTGTGTAAGCAATATTGAGGACAACGAAGGGTATTAGGGAAGATAGGTAAGTCGATTGATGAGGTTTTGATCCTCCGCTAATTGAGATGACTTGGACATGTACGGAGTCACCACCTATCAAGACATGCAGTGTCAATTAAAATATGAATGGGTTGAACGAATGAGCAGAATGACAGGATAAGACGTAGCACCAGTGCATGAAGTCTCTGACCGTCGGTCGCAGTCGTGGCGGGAGACGTAGACTACTCGGCTGGACCCCTGAGACGATAGAAATCAGTGTCTGAGGATTGTTGGTGACGACTGAAAATCGGTCACAATGGAGGAGATGTATTCACGCTCTGGTGTCTTCTAAACCTGGAATATTCGCACTAATTGCTACCTTCAAATTGTTTATTCCTTCACACAACTTTGTAAACTTTAATATCAGCCTTCTTCTGTCCATTTGTTCTTTGTATGCTACTGTGGAGTGTGTTAACTTGAACCACTACATCTGTGTGCAAAATTCTACTTTGATTCTTTCTATCTGTCTCATGACTGTATTTAGAACATATGAACAATTGGATTCTGTATCACTGATTTATCGATAGTATCCTCTTCGCATGATTATCGTTTTGAGGAGTATCTGAAAGCTGCTGACTGTATTTGAAATAAACATGTCGAGTTTACAACATAGAAAGTTAAACACAAGACTTTGATAGATGTTTACTTTGACTAGCATGGTGTGTTGGTATAAGTTATGCCGAGAATTCTTGGCTTATAGAATAAGTGTCTGAAAAAAGACTGCATGAAGTAAGCACATGATGATTCAGATGAATTCATCAGCTGTCATCTTAAAAATTTTAGAGATGTTGTCAATTTTTCTTCATGTCACCTAACAGAACTGTAGCTCATTTGTTTAAGCAGCTGGTTTTCAACCAGCAAGATACCAGTTTTCACTCGTTTCTCACTTCTTAAACTGAAGGCAACCAGGTAGTATTGTTAGCATCCACGCAATAGATGTAGCTTGTTGTCTTGTACACGGACTTATATGAGGTTGCTGAGATTTGTGCCACGTATCACCTTTCTCTTCATGTCCTTCTTTTGGTCTGACATAAGTTTCAACCAATTGCTATGTCTTGTACCCTCGAATTTTCTTTGTATAAAATAGACTCCGGGAACTAAGTCAGTGGTTTGAATGAAAAGATTTTCGAACTGTTTTATTCCATTTAGAGCCTCATATGGCTGTTACAAATGACCCTACTGATATAACCTCTAAGTTTAATGGAGTAGAGAAAACACTGGCGAAATTGTGGACGTATCTCCTTGGATTGACTGGAAATAGATATTGTGGTGATTGCTTCTCTAGGCTATTCATCCAATGAATATTGTGTTTTATCGATAGCTTCCTCCATATACTTTTCAGATAAGAAGTGTAAACTGTGGTAGATAGTCCCATATAGTTTAGTGAGTAGCTTCACTTTCTTCTAGCTTGGAACGTTTGGATTCAATAAAACCAACTTGATTCAATGCAAACTGATTGAGTATTCTAGTAATAGGTCTTATTTTTTCTCTTTGGAAAACTTTCCAATAAGCTTAAAGATAACGATTATGTTGTATGTATGAAACTTAAGTAGTTGGAAATCATGATGTGTTGATTTCACTAGCCAGATGAGTTTGAGTGATTTCTGACTTCTCAGGTTGTTCAGTATTATACTTCACGAGTTGATGGGACTTTTGGGTTAGAAGACATATCTTGTGATCTTAGCTGACTGGTGGTTTCCAACGGAAAGCCTTTTCACACCACAGTTAAGCAGTTGGGGAACTTCTCTCATAAGTGAGAGATGTGAAGGCGGACTGTTGAAATTGTAAATCATTTGTAAGAGGGCGACGTTGTATACATGGTTTATAGAAATCTATTGAAGTCAAGGAAGTCATCAAGTGATTTCAAGGGCATATTAAGAATCGTCTTATGGAATGTGGAATGAAACTACAGTTCAGGAATCTCTTCAGTCGAAATGGTCATTGAGTCTTATGGTCTATTGTACAAATGGAAAGGTTGTAAGTCTGTGAAATGGAGAAGTTTTACCAGTATTATTGTAGGAAGAGAGTTTCTGTGAAACACTTATTGTTTTCACTCTCAACTAAGTCATCGAGATAGATCATATAAGGTATAGTAATGTATGTGTAGGTGATTTATGGCCTCGAAATATATCACCAATGAGCATTGGACTAGTATTAGCAGAATGTTTCCCAGTCGATTTCGATTGTGGATAGTTGCCTTTAAACGAATCAATCATATTGTAGATCATTAGTTGAGTTCGAATAAAGTGCTTATGTATGATGCTGATTGGGATATAATGAATTCAACTAATCACTAGTAGTCAGTATGTTCAGTGGTCGCTGAGGAGGGTGATTTATGGTGGTATGGACTGTGTTAGAGTGTAATTCCATTTTTATTGATTTATTATATTGATGGCACAGTAAATGGAGAGAGAGTATTGTTTACTGGATAACGTTTTGGGCACAATTTATTGTGCATAGTGATATGAAGATAACTAGTACATGGATGTCAGGAAGTTGTAATGAGGAGCCGTGACCTGTGGGGTCAACCAGTCGTAAGTGAAGTGGATGCTGACTGAAGACGTTGGATGACAGTCGCGCTGTGTCGTAAATTGACAGGAGTTTGAAATTGTGAACCAGTGGAAAAGGACCCAGTGGCTGAATGGTTAACGCATTCGCCGTGAAGCCTGAAGGTTCCGAGTTCGGTCCGTAGCCGGATTGTGGGTGAGTACTGCTGAGGAGTTAGTTCGATACTGGGACGAAACAGCTGTCGAGTGCTGCGAGATTTTCAATGGTTCCCTAACTGATGTCAGTCCATGATGAATACTACTTCTAAATTAAAAATCCCCATTCATGTCAAAAATACATAACTACTATATAAGTTTGAGATATTCTTTCTATAGTCCTAATTTCCTCACCCGTTTTGTGATGATATGGGTAGTATAATTTTCCATATATCCGGAGTAGGTGCTGGTTCATTGCTGATGCATGGATTATGTGTTGATTCTATCAAGAAAGATTCAGTTATCAATCTCTCCCTGGAACGTTGGTGTGTTAGTTTTAAGCATTCTCACCCTATCCTATCCTATTTTATGGTTGTATGCATTCGCAGGTCTTTTCTAAATTCCTTACCAATTTTAACCTAGCTAGGTTTTTATGCTTTGATATCTAAAATTACGCTGGTCTACCACTTTGACCTATGAGGTATTTGAGTTCACCATCGTTGCAATAAGTTTCGGCTATGCTAAATGTCATTGAAGTCAAGGTATTCATTTCTTTTAACTATCTCATTACAATATCACCCAATAGGTTTAAATGAGTTGATGCAGATTTTCTAAATTCTGTCATTTCATCGTTGTATATTGTGAAGATTATCCTTTAGCGTCCGTGAGATTTTATCTTCATCTCCACCTGAATCAGTAGATTCTGGAGATGAAGGCAATTCATGATCATCTCATGAAATCTAATTCAGAGTCATTCGGTAACAGAGACACTGAATTACAATTCAGTAGTTTTTCTGGAAATATATATATATATATATATATATATATATATATATATATATATATATATATAATAAAAAACATTATAAGGGTAGATCTTGCATAAAAACAAGTACAGTACAACAATTCCGTTTTCATGAGAACCAGTTTATTATTTTTCCTCCCTACTGTATATGATTATTCTCATGTTTTTTTCTTCATAAGTTCAGTAATTTTTTCCTGAAGTTATAAGGAATTTAGAAAACTATTAAGCAACCATAAAATTAAGTTTATTCATACAATGAAGAATATTTTTAAAATTAAGTCCGACAAGAATACCCTAATGTGTACTTCACGTTAAGGTGTGATAAGTATTCTTTAAGACGGATGCCGTGTATTCGGCTGTATGATTCTTCGATAGTCAAATAGTCTTGTAGATATTCCTGTTTTATATACACGGAACCATAGCCAATGACTGTACTTTGTGTAGATTTGGCCAAGTCAGTTTTTTTTTGTTAATCACATTTCATCAACTCCCTTTTCAAGCAAGCATTCATGTAAACCACCTATAATCATGATAATTATGATGATGAGGGTTATCATTTTCACAACTGTGTAGTCATTTATATTTGAACAAAGTAACTTTAGACTGTGCTCCAACTGAAGGCTATGTGGCTGTTATAATCTTCATTGACTGAAATGTTTGGGTCATATGAAACGCATACTGAGCTACCTAACGCGAAATGTTATCTAATGTAAGCTAAGACTGGGAACTTCAGACTGGCTATACTAACGTATACTATCAACTTGTAAAGTATCTGACTGTTATTTTGAAGAATAATGACAATTATAGACTGGTGTCTTCAAGATGTCAAAAAATCATTCGTTGAAGAAAACTGAACGAGATGAATACATATTCATACTTTATCATCTTCAAGTGTGAGAAGATAAGTAAAGAGAGAGAGTACGCATTTTCAAAACTGTGAATATCTCATTCAACTCTATTTATTTATTTACTCTGATTCTATATTCTTTTCATTTACTTCGCCATCACTATTTATTTTCCTCTTGCCTGTTAAAATGACTTTGTTTCTGTGCAGGGTTCTACATTGAACTGTTTATCTGTTTGTTTTGCTCAAGTTGAGAGAGTAGTGGTAGCTACTGTAGGCAATTTACATCACTGTAAATAAATACACAAATCAGATATTAACGAGATAAAAATTCAGTGGAGAAAATTCGCATATGGATGAAACATTTTCAAGGGTTAAACGCTTGTATTCATAACAACAAGAAGGAAATTTGTCCATCATTTACTAAAAGATCAACATAAGAACATCCAAGCATTTCTTGCCACAAATACACCACAATTGTGTATAAATGTCGAGACTAATAGACAATGTGAGAAAATTGAGACAACCATAAGAAAGCTGAAATTAACAATTCCCAAATAGGATAATGTGGGCAACTAATAATGATAATTATGGTAAACAGAGGTAAAATGAAGTAATTCAGTGATGTTAGAGATTATGGCCAAGATGGAATGACAGGTTGCATATATCTCATTTGAACAAATAGATCAAGCTTCAACTTCCTTCAGCGTCACTCATAAGGCGAAATTAAACGTTTCTGTTGAGGTGCACATCTGCCATCTGAACAAACTACACGCCTTGAGTATTCATTAACTCAAATCTGAACTCACTGTTCAAAAGAAATACATACAATCTCTCACTTTACAAACTTGAACAGCCCTCATTTCAGTTCCTCTGACGATTCCTCTCTACTGCTCACAACTCAAATAACAACAACAACAACACCTGAACATACTTTTCTCAAATTGACAACAAACTATTGACAGGATCAACCGGTATAGTAGATAATATAAACAATCAAAGTAGAGTAGATCGTCAGGAATGTGAGAAGAAGACTAACTATTTGTAGGGTTTATCAGGTGAATATTCTTGAAGAAGGAAGGATAAGAGTTGGTGAGTAGTAAATCATTAATCATGGATTGTCTAACTTCGAAATGTTTTGTGCCTACAAAAGCATGAAGAGTGAGGTGGATGGATGGGTGAGTAGAGTTCAGATTTAAAACATAAAACATGTAAAAGATCGTATGAACTAGCAAACGTTTGCATACATCTTATTGTAAACAAATTGCTATGGTAATAGGAGGTTGTCAACTGAAAACGTAGATCCAGCCTTAATCTCTTGATGGTTCTCACTTCAGTAAAGTGTGATCGACTTGAATTCTTTTGGTTTTTGATCAGTTTGAAGGATTTGAGGCTGTCAGCACTGTGTTCAGCATCAATTAGATAACATGTAATCATGTTGTTCAATGGATTTGAACCCTATAATCTTAGATTATTAAGGATGTACTCATAAGCGTAAACGGAAACCTTCCTCTCTGTCCTTGCAGTATATATACTTTGCTATGTATATATAAATTAGATAAAACTGTAGTTAACATGAGATGAGAATTAGTTCCATTTCGATTGTTGGAATGAATAAGTAGTCTGGTACATAAAGATCAGATTGGCAGCCGGATACATTTTATTCACTTTAGCCTTTAATCGATGCTTGGTTCTAGCAGCAATTTGATCACTCCAGAATCTCATATAATAGAAGTAATTGAAGTTTAAATAAATTCCACTTCAAGTCTCCTTTCTATAAATGTTCTTTTGGATTGTCCCACCAGTATCATATTCAATACCAAAACCTAGGGGAATAAAACTTATTTTCATTCTCATACTTCATTGTAATTTTATATTAGAATGGATATTTTTGACAAGATTTAGTCATTCAAAACAAGCATTCATACATTCTTACTCTTCATATGCACCGTATTAAGTCTAATAAGATCAGGTATAGATATGGTGAATAGAAAAAATTCATATAAATGATACATTTTTTCATTAAATCAATGAATTGGTCGATAAATTATCAATACATTGAAGTTCAAGGTGAATATCTTTTCTTTAAATCTTATTTATTTGACCTTCATATAGGCATGATTTAAAACAAACAAAGATATTTTAATTGAACAATAAACAGGGACACAATACAAAAGAACATTGTATAAAAAGAGTATATCAGTTCAGGTTACACTAATTTATACTAATACAGAGCTACTAAAATAAACATATTATTATAGAGTAATTAAGATATTTCAAGATGAAGATAGATATAAAGAATAATCATTTATCTCTACGATATCACTCAAAAGTTCCAAATGTTAATTTATATACAACCTCTAGACAATTCTATCCAAGTAGTATAAACTCTTCTGCAAGGATTTTAAACTAAAGTTTATAAACTAGTGTCAACGTAACCCAGTTATTCTTAACCTTTTCCGCGGTATAGTTGTACCTTAGCGAGGATTGCACACACACACACGCACACACTGGAGTAGGTCGGATATTTCCTATTGGGTATTGAACAGTCGCGTTTTCTTTTTGAAATAGAAAGCGCATAATCACCCTTTCTAGTGAATTTATTGGCTATAAAAATTTCATATGAATATTAAATTTACGCTTTATTTAGAGAGGATATTTTATAAGATATTTTGTTAAAGAATCCATTTCTGAATAATGTTCAGCAAATAGATTTACCATGAGAAGAGAAATATAAAGTTGTCAAGTTGGACGATAGAGATTTCTTCAAGTCCTAATGATAAGTCATGACTAGTCAGGCTAACCAAGTCGGATGTGGCGACGGGTATTCAACGACGCCATTTGATGAATGTTGCGCTATATCATGAACTGACAGGAGCAGGAAAATGTTGACCATTTTGAACCTCTATCCAGTGGCAACCTGCTGGCCATGGGACCTGAAGATCTTAGGTCCCACCCCCGATGGGGGTCACTGCTAAGATGAAACAAGCGTTCAGCCCTTCTAGGTTTTTAATGGTTTTTCAAGCTATGTCAATCCATCGTGAATACTAACTTGAACTGAATGAAATCTCCACAAGCTTCAAAGTGGATTAAAGCTGAATGAATAGACTGCAGTTTACGAAAATCATATTCACAATTACAAGTTGAGAAAAATATGATATCTAAGATTATAGGGTTCAAATCCATTGAACAACATGATTACATGTTATCTAATTGATGCTGGACACAGTGTTGACAGCCTAAAATCCTTCAAAGTGATCAAAAACCAAAAGAATTCAGGTCGACCACACTTTACTGAAGTGAGAACCATCAAGAGATTAAGACTGGATCTACGTTTTCAGTTGACAACCTCCTATTACCATAGCAATTTGTTTACAATAAGATGTATGCAAACGTTTGTTAGTTCATACGATCTTTTACATGTTTTATGTCTTAATTCATTGTATAGGATGTATCCTATACAATGAATCATACTAACTCGGTGCCCAAGTTTTTTCAAACCATCCAGTCCATTGTTGGCCAGGATGCCTTCAGACTTATTTTATGTTTTAAACCTGAACTCTACTCACCCATCCATCCACCTTACTCTTCATGCTTTTGTAGGCACAAAACATTTCGAAGTTAGACAATCCATGATTAATGATTTACTACTCACCAACTCTTATCCTTCCTTCTTCAAGAATATTCACCTGATAAACCCTACAAATAGTTAGTCTTCTTCTCACATTCCTGACGATCTACTCTACTTTGATTGTTTATATTATCTACTTTACCGGTTGATCCTGTCAATAGTTTGTTGTCAATTTGAGAAAAGTATGTTCAGGTGTTGTTGTTGTTGTTATTTGAGTTGTGAGCAGTAGAGAGGAATCGTGAGAGGAACTGAAATGAGGGCTGTTCAAGTTTGTAAAGTGAGAGATTGTATGTATTTCTTGTGAACAGCGCGTTCAGATTTGAGTTAATGAATACTCAAGGCGTGTAGTTTGTTCAGATGGCAGATGTGCGCCTTGGTAGAAAATACATAGTATATTACTCATAGATGACGAAATTCAACCTCGTAGGTCTATGTTCGCCAGAAGTGAATACGCGGAGATATTCACTGAGAAAAGTCTGGATCAAGATGCTACTCATCACTCAACTGTCTATTTGACGTGGGAGGTATTTTAAATTTTGAAATTCAATGTAAATTAAGTACTAAGACGCAGATTAACGAAGGCTATTAAAAGAAAATTCCATGCAGCCACTCTGCTCAATGGTGAACACGTGTGTAAACGACATAATGTCATTGTTAACCACTTTTGTGTGCACATATCATTTAGCCTGCTACTGTGGTGTTAGATACGTAGGCCCTAGACAGAGTTAGATTATCTAACACATATGCCAACGCTTTCCGTCGTGGCTCAGTAAAAGTCAACGAAGATTGACTAATTGCTCTATATTACAACACTCAGTTGACAGCAGACATAAGGATCTAGAAAATTCGTTTGTTACAGTCTACAAAGTAGAAAGTAATCCTCTGATGGATGTGAGGAAATGTTTACTTTGCATGATTAGTACAGTGAAAAATATTTTGAAGTAAGTGTTCCACTGGAAATCAGACAAGTTCATAGACTTTTTTTAGCGCACTTCAAATAAGAATTTCTATGGCTTCTACAGTTTGAAGGAGTTTTAAAATTTCAAAGGGTCCGCATAAACGTTTTAAATGAAATTGAAAGTCACTTGTCTGGTTTTATCAGATCATCGAAATTGATGAAACCATCTAATATTGAACTACTAAATCTCCTTCTTCTCTGTATATAAACTCAATGTGGTAGATGCTTGAAGATAAGTGTTACAGTTCCCCTGTATTCTCAGAAATAACAAAAGTTAGAAGGGTTTAACTGTGGGATAGTTTGTATGCGCTGATGATTTGTCGGATACGAAAAAAGTGGAACACTGACATTTACTTGATTTTTTATCTACGTAATCAGTAAGTATCAATAAACTTCAATATGATACTAGGTGAGATGTTGAAATCAGTTTATAACTATCCTCTAAGGATCCTGATATATATGAATTTTTTGCTGCCCGTTACCTTGCCTTAAAATCATTTTTGATGTTCTACTCATCATCATCAAGATCAACATGGGACCAGGCGTTACTGCATAAAGGTCCAAGTTGCCACACCACGTGTCAGTGCATCAAGTAACAAGACAATAAAATGGAAGATGAAGAAGGAAAGGAAAATCGATCAGAAGGAGTAGAAGGTAGTAAAAGAGAGAAAGAAGGAATGAGAAAATGATCAGATTAAGTATGGATATTAAGATGAGGATAATGTGTGTATACTTCTGGGCCACTGACATCGATTCTGAGCCATATCACCTGGACTCTCTAACTGCTGGTTCCTCTTATCCCGCGGACCACTGTCAGCTAGTCTGCATCATCCTATATGGCTCAGACGAATAGTCAAGGACTCCATGCATTGATGCCGTGTTTTAGTCTGGCCACCTCGAGACTTTTTCCAGCATGAACCTACTTCGATCAACATTGTATGATGAAGTAGACGGTGGTTGGGTATACGTAACACATGTGCCAGCCATCTCAATCGACGAAGGTTCACAACCGCATCAATTATCTTACCTCTCTTGCCTTAAACTCTACACCTGACTTCTGCGTTACTCACGTGGTGACACCACGGAACACGGCCTATACTACGAAGGCAGCGGTGGTCAAACACCTGAAGCCTTCTCATGTATTTTACCTTTAATGGTCATGTTTTACAGTCATACAGTAGAAGAGAATGAACTACAGCACAGTACACTCGACCCTTTATAGGCAATCAGATATCTTGGTAGAGCCACAGATGACGTAAGAAACTGTGGGGAGTCACAGAGCTCATCACAAATGAAGACGACAGACCAACGGAAGTTAGGAACATAACAAATGTGTTGCATTCCAATAACTACCCTGAGAATACTATTTAGAAGTTTAAAAACCAAGAGAGAAATCAAATGATAAGTCTTGGGTTAGTACACTGGTTCTACCATTCCCCAGAGGTATAACTGAAGAACTAGAGAGGATTTAAAGGAGACAGTGAATTAAAACCTGCTGTACACAACAACCAACACTCTCAGGAATACCTTAGTAGAATTCCTTTTAATTCCACACAAAATTGTGTCTGTTATATGTATATACATACAAATAAAATTCTATTCATCATAGACTGACATCAGTTAGAGAAACATTGAAATCCTGGGGACATTTGAAAGTTGTTTTGTCCTAGTATGGATGTCCTTGGCAGTATGCCCTGATGAACCTTCAGGGATCTATCGAGCTTAGGACCTCTACATGACTGGTGACATGCTTTGAGATCGATATGTCGAAGTTCTGATGAGAAGTTGTTACTAGTCGGAAGTGAAGCAGATGTCAACTGAAGAAGTTGAGTGGTAGTCGCGCTATATCACAGATTGACGGAAGCAGGAAATCATGAACCGTTGAACAACAACACGTTCTCATTTCTACCCCTGGCATAGTCGTGGATATGCGCTACTAAGTCACGTACTAGGATGAAACAGCTGTTCAGTATTCGCAGGTTTCCGATAGTTCTCCTAATGATGTCAGTCCATGACATAACTGGTGATGATACAGAAATCAATCGCATGAAGAATAATCCTTATCTGATAACCAGTAAATCCTATACTATATTCATTCACATTAAAAGTCATTCATAGGACTTGACACCAAAGTCAGCTAAGTAAGTATTATTTTGTAATTTAAAATTATTAACATAATTACCTTTAAACTAGTAAATTATAATTTATTTTTCAGGTTTATTGATATCTTAGTCACACGATCCTACGCTCATTTACGTGCTGTATTCAATGAATACACATCTCTTGGTAAGCGTAATATGGAAGATGCTTTAAAATCAGAAATGCATGGACATACACTTAGTGCTTTTCTTTCAATAGGTAAGTCATTCAATTGAATTTCTATACCTGAGCTTATTTATTCACCTTTAGTATCATTAATTTTTTGAATTTGAAAGTGACCTCAGTTGAGAAGATCACATCAACATTGAAACCTATAACGGACTGCATAACTGAATAGTTCCAATTTCATACTATTTATCCAAAGGAGATTCTCATTCAGATTATGAGGATAGAATAAGACTGTTACTCTGTGATATGACCGAATTATATTCGGTTGAGAATTTCTTTCAACTGATAGATTACGAACTAAGAACTGTGGTTTTACACCCAGGACATTTAAACACATGACAATGGAACCTGATCACTGGAATATTGTCCCTATACCGCTGAAAAGTACAGAAGATAAGGTTTATTGACCCAGGAAAAGATAAACACTAGTTGATAAATATAGCAGTTTAAATAACTATTTAACTAAACCAATAATTATCAAGTTGAATATAGAAAAATTGTCTTCTCAGCCACTGGTTAAAGATACAGTAAAAATATGTGAATAACACAATCTTCGGTCAAGGTTATTAATAGAATAATAAACTAACGATTATGATTTGACTATCTAAGAAAACCGTGGTTTGGCAGACTAGTATTTGTAATGGGTGATGATTGATGGTGAGATGGAAATCTGAACCCCGGCCGGATTCGAACCAGCGACCACTGGGTTACCGGCCCGGTGCTCTACCAACTAAGCTACGAAGCCCGACTGCTGACCAGAATTTTATTTCATTTTAACCACCAAGGGTTTTGCCCGACTACCATGTGAATTCGTAACACATTACTACCGCTTGATCGTATCCACACTGGCTAGTTAGGACTTCTCATCCCAATCCAAATCTAACTGAATCAGAGGGGGAGTATCATCTCACCTTCAATCATCACCCATTACAAATGCTAGTCTGCCAAACTACGGCTATCTCAGATAGTCAAATCATAATCAGTATGTGATTCATAGTATCAACTCGATAGCACAAGAACCTCTAGACTTAAGCATTTCTGGGTTTAGTGGTATATGGAATGGCGGGTGAACATTCCTCAAAGGATCCAAACAAGAATGAATCAACAGTTTAGTGTTACACTGTTTTCATTGCTTCCATAGTATATTTCAGTTTTTAGTAAAAAGACTTTTCAAATGAAATTATAAGAAAATCCAAACAATCATGATCAGCTTCTTGTGATCATCTCCACTGTTTTACGTACTGTAGTGTGTGTGTGTATATATATGTTATCTGCATTTCATTTCAGTTCGATGTGTTCAAAATAAACCAAGATATTTTGCTGAAAAACTACTCAAAGCAATGAAAAGTGTTGGAAAAGATGATAGAACTATTATACGTATCATTGTTTCTCGTTGTGAAGTTGATATGGGACAAATAAAGAAAGAATTTCATAGTTTAAAGGGGAAAACATTAGAGTCATGCATATGTGTAAGTTTAAACATTTTGTGATGATTTTTATTCAAAATTTGTTGATTTCACTTGGAATTTAATTTGAATAGTTTCTAGATCCTTCACACTATGATGATGGTGATTTCAATACAAGTCAGTCAATATCAACATAGAACTTGACATTACTGTGTATTACTTCAAACTGTCATACCTCATATCAGCACATTAGACAAAAAAAAACAATAAAAAAATCAAAAAGAAAGCAGTTAAAAGTAGTAGGAATTCATCGAGAGAGGACAAAGAAGAATGAGGTAATACTAAATTTTTGTATGAAGATAAGGTGTAGATACGCCTACACCAGTGACATCGATTGTTAACCATGTCACCTACAGTCTACAACCACCGCTTTCTGTTGTCTCATGAACAACCGCTGGCTAAGACCAACAGCTAAAATACTTCATGCAATTTTAGTCTGACCACTCCAAACCTTTTTCCAACCTGAACCTACTTCAGATAACATTGTAGCACTAAGCAAACAATGACTAGGAGTGTGTAACACATCCCAGCCAACTCAGTTGACCAACGTTCACAACCTCATCAATTGATTCTTCTCTTCTTAAAATTTTATCCCTGACTTCTTCCTTACTGACTTGGTGACGTCATGACACGGCAACAGTGGTCAAATACGTGAACCGTTTCTATGTCCTCTACCTTTAATCAACATATTTCACATCTATATGGTAGAACAGAGTAAACTGTAGGACAGTACACTCGATCCTTAGTAAACAACCGGATATCACAATGGTGCCACAGATGGCAAAAGCCAACCGAACCTTTTTGTATCCGTGCAGATACTTCGTCAGCCACTTATTCACTAGGGCTGATCCGACTTCCCAGGTAAGTGAAGTGATCAACGCACTCAACTGCTTCACTCCATGCTGGTAGACAGGGCACCATTGAAGATCAATCCTGGAATAACAATTTAGATTTTTATGGCGGGAAACGCATTCGAAACACTCTCAAGGTGTCTAGAATACTCTGCGTCTTGTCGTTGTCTTCACCTAACAGGACCATGTCATCTGCATATTCTATATCTACCAAGGATTCTCCTGTGATAAAATCAATCCCTATAAAGTCGGACAAGAGGCAGACCTCCATAACTTAGATTGTAAAGCTGACTAAGAATGGAGAGTGGACATTCATGATGGACACCGCTCTACATACACAATTCACCATAGGATCTAACACTCCCACGGTTGTTTCAGTGCATACCTTTCAACAGAGTCATATACTTACCCGGCTCCTTTGTCAATGAAGGATACTACCACAAGACTTCCCGATTGGCGCAGTCGGATGCCGCCTTCAGGTCGAGTGATATAGCCAACGTCGGGTGTCGGTACTTGAACTGAAATAGACCAAACTAGCTAATCGGGATCAGTTAGAATAGGGGAACATAGGAATTTACCCAGATGTAGAATGATAGACCCTAATAAGATCGATTATCTAGAAAAAAAACTCGGGTATTGTAAGCATGCATTAAAACACAACCACTGTACTTGAGTCCAATATAGACAATTGGTTGGAGAAATTGAATCTTTGTTAATTGGATCAACATCTAATACACAGTGTAATAGGAATGACGCAACACCTATACCAGAGATATGGAAAATACTACCACCAGTAAAAACAAAGGACACAAGGTGATAGGATTATAAAAATCAGGTGTCAAAAAATGTGGTTACGAGCAATAATTTATGCTCGAAACGTCAAGTAAGCGATACTGTATCACTGTGTTATATCTACTAACCAAATCTATTATGAAATTACATTCTTGTGCAGTGAACAAGTTCTACACTTATACTCCATTTGTCAGACTGATTCGCTCTTGGTTATCACAGGATTTCGCTATTATCTTGACTGGAACAGTCAGGTCCCCGAGTCGCAGACTAATTTTTTTCTGCTATAGTCTCACTTACCACTTTTTGCCTCAGTTCCAAGTTTAAATAACTATCTACTGTTACCTATCGCCGCTGCCTTTTCCATCGCTTCCCTCCACTATTCGCGGTCATTGCATAGACTACTTGTCAATCTACATTTCACTTGTTTCCACTCCTTATTGTGCTCGGAACCTGCAGGGATGCGTCCACGTGCTCCTACAGATTCAGAAGTTGCTGATATCCACTAGTTCTTTTTAACCACCCTTTGAGAATCGCCTCGGTCTTCAAAGCTGTTTTTACTGCGGACTGGAGATGGCACTAAGCTTCTGAATGAGTGATAGTATTCTGTTCCAGTAACTGCCTAGCCAGTTAATCGATGAAAGCAGCCTTAGTGCTCTTAATGTCAACCTGCACTTACAGTGGTTTTCTTGCCATATTTTTTCTATGTCCATTTAGGTGCAAACACATATGTGCTCGGACCAACGGGTGGTCGCTGACCAAACACGTGCTTCAGAAATAGCGACAATCTGCCACCGACCCTATACAGCGATAACTGATAGCAATGTTTGGTGTCCACATTTGAGTTGAGGTCGATGGACGTCACGCTAGACAATGTTTCGCTTTATGTCTGAAGTTCGTGCTAGACAGAAATAGATGGTTGTAGCAGGCAATCACCTTTATCTATTAGTTCGGCTGGGATTCTGAAAACGCCACTCTAGTGCCTTTCTGCCTGACTTAGCCAAACCACTTGTACACTGAAATCACCTGCAACAAGTACCAAGTCTGAGCCTTTGAGTTCCAGTATAGGGTTAGTTAGTTTTCCGAAAAACTCATCCTTCACTTCATCCGAACTATAGTCAGTTAGTGTGTAAGTAGAGATAACAAAGAGACCTCTTTATATTTTCTACCTCTAATTACTATGTTTTATACGTGTATAGTAAAACAGGGTGGATTGAAGCGTATTACACTCAGTCTTTGATAGGCAAATGAATATCACAGCAGTGTAATTAGTAGCGTAAGCAAAGCGAGCTTTTGTATCCGTGCAATATATGAAAGAATTTCTGGTGTCCAGTTATAATTTTTTGGCGATTCCCTTTTCTAAAACCAGAGATAAAACAAAAATGTAGAAACCAGGAGAGTTTAATAATGTTTTTTCGGATCAATTAGGTGCTGCAATTCTACGCTGTACTTAGTTACTTGATTATAGCACACAATGATACAATATCATCTATTGTATGATGTTTAGAGAACAATTTACTAGTCACTAAAGTGTTGAGAGTTGTTTTTTCGACAGTCCTATTCCTTTTTCAGCCATATAAGAGACTACAAAACAATTGGAACTCAAAGAAAACAAATGGTAGGGTTGAAAAAACCAACTATCAAAAGTTGTTTTGACTACTTAAATATGACCATAAGTAATAAACTCTACCCAAAACGTTATTCAGTACCATTGTCTTACAGATATTTTTAAAGAATCTAATTTATCTGATAGCCCTCAATTTCTAATTTCACATGAAGGTTTTTGAATGAATGACTATCTTTTAGAGGTGAATTAGTTTAGATACAAAGCTACTGGAACTTGAGATACTGATTACAAAGACACTGAGAGAAGAGAGGAGGGATAAATCTACATAATTCTTTATTTGAAAGACAAACTTCTAACTGAAGTAATAAGACAACTGGTGCTTCAGTGAAAATTGAATTTTCATCAACCTTGTGTTCATATTATTCACCAGATTTTTCTTTATCTATTTCCAATCTGCAAGCTTTAAAATAGTCAAGACTAGTGCTAAATGTGAACAGTTCATATATATCTACTACAATGTGTCAAATTTCGGAATGAATGTACTTTCACTGTCTGGCTTAAAACGCATCAACAATCCCCGCATAAGTGAAATATAATAAGTCTGTGGGAATTTTTCTCGTCCTCATAACTTACCTGTCAATCAGATTTTCATATTTCACCTATGATTTCAACAGAAGTGTTGGTGTAAGATACAAGTCACAATAACTTACCGGAAATAATATTCTAATATTTTCTTCACAGATTTATTTTATTTAATTACATCAGTTATCTGTATTTCTTAGGAGTTTTAATAACTCAGCCGTCTAATTCAATTATATTGTTAACTTTATCGACCACTACCAGATTTTATTCTATGAGATCAAGAAAGAAGATCAAATTGACTGTTTAGCGGGAATCTCAATAATAGACGAAAATATATGAGGTATATCGGCTAGTAAAAGAGTATGTACAGGTAATGCAACTTATTACAACAGCGAATTGGATGGTGTAGATGTTTGATGACATCTTGAAGACAACTAGTCCACTAAAACTGGAAAGGTCAACACTCAACGTTGAATATCCTTTCATCATTTGATTTCGAATAGTTATCTCTCACTGATTGACCTACACTAATTAAATTTCATAATTTACATTTTAACAATGAAAATTTAGATTTCGGATAAAACTTAGAAAATATAATGAACGATAAGTTAAATGGAATTATCACTAATTCATAACTAGGGCTGATGAAAGGACGTTAACCAAGAAGCCCCGGATCAGTTTGTTGGGGTTAATCAGTAAGCTGTATCTATCTATAACTCTGAAACGATTGACGTCTACTTACAGATTGGAACCCCCTATCACTCACTGTTGTATCAATAGATGCAACAATAAGCGTTCATGAACAGCTAAACTACATTGTATGCTATCTGATGAAATCACTAAGGAGATACTTGATGAACCCATTAACCAGTAAACCACAATCTACCTGTTTGCTAAACTGATAGTTTAACCTATATTATAAAAATAATACACTTTTGTTAACCAGTTAAACTTTACAATATACAACAGTTACCAATGTAATTGGAAAAGAGTAGTCATTTAAAAAAAAAATTCTTATTAGATTTCAATGAAATTCTTTAGTATTCAGTGTTTCATAGTTGATAAGGTACAATATCTTGTTTGTTTTTTTCTTTCGATAATATACAGGATGAAATATCAAAAAGTTATCAAAGTCTTCTATTAGCGCTAATTGGAGCATAATTCATTCAATTGAATCAGTTTTAGCTACTCTTTTTTTTTTCTTTGAAAAATATACTCATCTGGTAAATTACTTTGGATTTGCACTGACCTATTATGCTAGAGAAGTATAAATTGTAATCCTCCTTTTAAAAGAGTATTTTTTACTTTGCTCACTTTCTATCTCTGTTCTCAAAAATTATTTGGCTTTCTTATTTTACTTAGTTGGATATCTTAATCATGTTTTTTTTTTGACCTATTTTCAATGCAATAAAGGAATAAAATGATAATAAGTATGACTTCTCATTTCATTGAATAGATATGTATTCATCTTCTAAAAGATTAGGAGGATATGCGAATATCTCTATGCAATACATATTTTGACTAACATTATTTTTTGAAATAGTTACTCCATTCATAGTAAAGATGGGTAATGGCTAGCAGTGGAACCTAGGATGCGCATTTCGTCCTGCTTGGGACTCATCAGCTGGATGTACCTACCTCCCAATGAGTGATGTTGTTCCCACAGGGACTCGGGAGCGATCGCTTCAAACGCCAGAGCGTTATCCACTACACCACTGAGCCACTTCTTGTGCGACGGGTATAGTTCTAGTCTTATTGCTTGTATTATAGCGCCGTTGATTGGACCGAATTGATCGGTCTCTATTGGCATATGGGATCCTGTGCAGATGCTTCGATATATCTGTGTTCTAGTTATAGTAAAGATGGATAGTGGCTAGCAGTGGAATCCAGGATGCGCATTTCGTCCTATTTGGGATAGCGTAATTGGAAGACGAAGTTTATCTGAACAATGTGTGATGTATTAGCGCAAATAAACTTCAAACAATCTGACCACACGTTTACTTGTCAAGTCAATACATACTGAACCGAAGAGTGGGTAGGAAAAATACAACAATTAAGATAAGCAAGGGATTAAAATTAAGAAAGATGGGAACAAACAGGACAAAGAGTCACACAGTTGATCCTAATCTTCGTAAGTAAAACAAAGTTTACCAAGGAAGGTAGGTGTAGTGTACACGGACAAATTGTTTTTGTATGCATAAAAGTGATTTTAATTTGTGTATGGCAATGGCTTCCGCAAATCTCAGAATACGTCCCTAACTGTTTTTATATAAAACTTTCAAAGCTGTTTGAACATTAACTTTGCGACTTGTTTCTTTGATATGTTTAGCTATAGATGAAGAGGATTGTCTCCCATCAGCGTTTATCACGGTTTCACACCATCTGTTTTTGAAGTTATTTAGGTACATTCTCTCACCCTCAAGTGCATGCCTCGATTACTCCTTCCTATGTATGTGTGATCACACATACATGTAAATTAGTAAACACAATAAACAAATTTAAAACACCTTTACGTGGACAAAAAGAATTTTTTCTTACACTACACTCACCTTGCTTGGTAAACTCTGTTTTCTTACCAAGATTGGTATCAACTAGGTCACTTCTTGTTTGTTTTCATCTTAATTTTAATCCCCTGCTTATCTTAATTGTTGTATTTGTTCTCCCACTCCGGTTTGATACATATTGACTTGGTGAGTGGTCAGATTGTTCGGAATGTATTGCGCAAATACATCACTGTTCAGACAAACATTATTTCTGAAAACAATGTGGGTTAAGTACACCTAACGTCAAACTAGGGAATGGTAAACCCAGAGAAATCTAAAAAGCTTTCAATCAAACTACGTCTTTTTTTTTCTAGTAATCATAGTAACATATTTCCTTATCAATATTGTCCAGCCTTAGGAATTCCAAGCACAAAATGTCCCGTAGCAATATCTTACTCAGAAAGATGGCATAAGTAACCGTATAAGGTTCAAATTTCGTTTACAAGACGTTACGACCAGCGAAAATTTATTCAGTGTCATCTGACCTTAATGGAATGTACGGCGAATTCGTTAAAAAAAATGATTAGAAACTGATTAATTCATCACATAGGAGTCAATTTCTGACGAGAACGCTTTGCTTTCTAGATCATTAAACACTGACTTTTCTGGGGACCTGAATTACAGAGAACGTATATGACAGTTGTGAGTAAAAAACAGATTGTCAAAGCACATAATCATTTGAGACGAAGGCTTGAAATCCTTCGACAAGCAAATCTAGAATGTTTCTACGAAACCGGTTTCTTCCTTCGACTAATGAAACTGCATAGCGGAATGAATTATTCGTTGGCCGTCTGTTGCACGATCGTATACGTCAGTAGGAACCAAGTGAGATCATTTTGCGTCTTAGAAACATAAGTGTGAGATAGTCAACCAGGAAGTAACCATCTATTTACGATTATGCACACTAAGAAATAAACCATATTCACTTCGGTAGATAATGATACTTGTTGGCTTCCCAAAACGCCCTAAGTTAAGTGAAATGTCGACAAGTGATCCACTATGCGGAGATTGCCTTTTAAAGAAATGAGTCACAGACTTGTTACACTCATCTTCATCAGTTATTATATCTTAGCATTGAATAGTTAACGCCCTCAGTAAGAAAAAATATTCATTTTAGTTCTAGATGAATGCGTTTCTGTGTTCTAGCTTGTGAGATATGTGAAGACCGCATACAATTCTTTCTTTAAGTGAAGCAGCGTATATTTCTACGTAATCGACATCCAATTTACTAAATTTGTATTCTTAGGTAACTGGATATTACAGATAAACAATCTCTCCTTTTCATATATGTTAACACACGAAGACATAATTTCCAACTTTGGGATTTATAAAAAAATATGTATGCAGCCACCAAATACATTCAAATCAACGTAGAACTTAACAAAAAATAACATAAGTTTATGCTGTGACACTTCACAGCAGCAATATAAAGAAGAAGTCGGTAGAAAAAGAATGATATTAAGATAGACAAAAGTGTATGGGAAGAATGGATGAAGCTTAGTGAAAATATTTGGAATATTATAACTTGCAAAACAGTCACACATATTCTCATTGTTGAAATGTTTGCAGACGGAGTAAACACAGAATACCTACTTTTGCTATCAGTCACAGGATTCTATATGCTGTCACCACAGTCAATTAACTTTATCAACAAGAATGAGGGGATTGCTAAATCTGATTCTTTGTGAAGTTGAAAGCTGGCAAGAGAGAACTCAAGCCAATATAACAACAAAAACTAACAACAGAACCTGATTAAATTTTAAAAATCTGAATATTCATATGAATTTCTAGGAGTATGCTTTTAGATTAAGCTGGCAGATAACCAGTGGATTTCAAACTAAGCAACGGTAGCTTTAAACCAAATATCAGCTGGTTTTATTTAACTCTGAAACCACAACAAATGGACATAAACTATTCTACTCAAGAATCGACAAATTTTCTAAAATCAAAAAGTGAAGCCATGACGGATATGTCCGAAGTAATTAACCTTTAGGATGAAGTGAAGAATAAGGTTAATAATTTGGCACACCAAACATTCAATGCTGTGCACTACAGCTACTCTCTTTATATTTACTCAGTACAATTTAAAGTATCCCTAATCGATCTCTTTAAATGTCAGAGCTATGCATTCTATCAAGCTTTATAAATGGTCATTGATAAATGTGCTCTAAATATTGAATCTGCTACTAATTTAGGCTTCTAATCAATATAGTTGACTGTTTCAATGCGTACCAGTTCTGCTGCTTCTCCTTTTTTCGATCTATGCGAACTAAAACCAGCGAGCTTTTGAATGAAGTTCAATGTTGAACTGTTTTTTTTTTTAATTCGCGAAATTTCTCATTCTTTCTTGTTCACTAGAACTATTTGAAAGTCTCATTGCATTCCAGCACTCACCTAGAAAATTTTTATCCTATAACATCTGAACAAAAAACCCGAGAACTAAACACCGTTGAGAGTACCAACCCACCCTTAGGAAGAATGGGACATGTCAAATGATTGTTCTCAATACGCATAACCCTAGCTTTATGCCGCCCATAAAAATTATTAAACATCTAATTACTAGGATCCTGACTATCGAAATACCATTTAATAACTAGCCACCTCTACTCACAATTAATCATATTGATTTACATCATTAACTAATATAGTCCACCTGCTGATAAAACATCATCTTTTCCCTACTGCGGCATGTTGCTACTTTCACAAAATTAAAATGTCCATCAGAATACAACTGGTCCTCACCCCAACTACTCACAATTTACAAGTAGTCTGAAAAGATCTGAACAAATATACAAGATATCATAGGTACTGTTTAAGTCAGTAAATCTTGTCAGACTAACTGAAAGAGTTGCTCTTCAGTAGCAAGCGATCACTGTTTTGGATTCGTTGGCATGGGGTTCCTTAAATACCTCCAAGATGTATTTTCGATTGGCTCGACTTCCCTACTTCAGCGTTGAGATTACCTGCCATTATGACTAAATCTGATCGTTTTGCTTTCTGTAGCAAAATTCACAGCTTGCCGTAGAACTCATCCTATGCATCATCCGAACTACAACCGGTGAGTGCGTAGACAGAGATTACGAACACACATCGCCCAGTCTCACAACCTTTCCTAGTTTTTACAGATCCATCCAGACAAACAGTACACAGATGGCTGTTAGCTGGTATCCAGTCGAGAAGTGAGCCTTCTGATCTGCAACTCAATGCGATACATACACCAATGAGTCTATGAAGGCTAGCTATTTGGTCTCTAGAAACTCGGAAGGTGAATTCTGAAGGTTCAACGCAATGGCCAGGCGAGGTCAGTCACGTGAATAACCACACTCAAGTCCTGTATGTGTCGCAGAAATTTAGCATACATTCGAAGCTAGAGATTCCCCAGCTATGGCTACTGTCCGATTTGAAGTTGAAAGCTCCTACATGAAACCGATGGCTGGCATGGTTTTGGGAGAATAAGAATGAGGTTTCGACAGCTTTGATCGTTAGAAATGGTTGCAAAATGAGAAGTAGGGGAAAACAGAGCTGGGGATAGGTTACGTTCGATACGTTGTATACTCCTGGAAGCGTGTAAGCGGTTGAAACTTTCCGGTCGCCCAGCCCGTGGAAGGCTATTTCCTCTTGAAGTACCTGAAGGAGAAAAAGATGTGACCGTAGAGCTCATGGTAGGATATCTTCATGAAGCTTGTCGCATGCGGACTTCTGCACGTTATTCTCGGGTTGGTTGCGTACCCACTACGGAAGACTCATACTCTTGGCAGTTGAAGACCGTGGGCCAAGTGTAAATTTTGTGGCCGACCTAATATAACAGCCCTTCTACTTCCCGTTGGGATGGCAACACCTGCGTCGCACTGCTGACCGTCCAAGAGAATCGCCTTCCTCCTCAGACCATTCAGCTAGCAGCAGTAAGACTTTGCCCTTGGACCGCCATCATAGTGTAGTAAATCACACTACAACGGTAACTGCTTTTCGTCTTACCACTATCCACTAGACCTTCCTGGTATGGTAGGACCCCAATAGACCAAGCGTCCCACCAGTATAGCTCTTCAAGTTATTGTAGCATACACGCCTGACCACCTCGTCAAGGTAGTAGGTATCAGTCGAGAGGAAAGTATCAACAGTGTAGCTATCCGGACGGTCAGCGAAACGTATACACTTATGCAACCCTTAATTTCTGACTAGACAATTGATTCCTAGTCACTTTATCTCCGTTACACTGTTTTTCATTACTAGAAAATTCACTGAACCCAGTCAGTTGGTTAATCACTCGTAATAATATGATCAAGATTTGTAGACAAATACCACCTAAAACCGAACTCCACACCACCCCAAGACGTCAAACTTCATTATCATCTATGACATACAGGCACTTATGCTTAGAGAAACTCAAAGACTCATGAAGCTACAAACTACCCATCAAAGAAAAGATATCACCTTACGATGAACTCATTCAACTTGTAGGCAGACTCACGGAGTTGTTGTTTTGACCAAACATGTCTATCAGACCAATAAAACAGTTAACTGGTTTCAATTTGCAGAAATCTAGACAATTCCCTCTGATGTCGATTAACGTTTCCCGAGAATATGAAAAACATGTTACGTTCAACAGTCAACCCAGCGAGTGACATTGATTTCAACGAGTTAGAACAATTCCCGGCAAACTACCAACTAGGACTGAACATAATTACGTCCTCCTTGTAGTTCCATTGTTAGCATATCATTTCTGACTGAAAGAGTTACTAGAGGCCCCTGGTATAAAGAAAACAAACTATGGAAACCTGATGTCACGTGGTGGACACGCACACAATATGAAGCAAGTTGTTGGAAGTGCATGAGATCAACCAAGAGCATGGATTTGTAACCAGGGTTTTACCATAGTATCCCAAACAACAGGGTGCATAACGACTCCTACAAAGCAAAACAAACTTAGCCGTACATCTAAACCAGCGGCTAACTGATTCACTACAGTAAATCTTCATACACAGCTGTTAGCTAGACATTAACCCATAGTGCGGCTGGTTTAATGGGTTTCAAATGAAATGGAACACCTTTAGAAAATATCAAATTGTTAGATGAAATGCGGAACAAAGGAATTTGACAAGTACACTGTTTGTGGGCATACCACAACCAATGCGGAGATGTATACATAGGTCCGAATAGCGAACTCATATTTATACTCCACCGGTTTGCGTTTGGAATACTTCGATAGTGTCATTTTCCTCCATCTCCAACTGAAAGAATTTTATAATTACATGGTTAAAGGGGAAACCTACCGAAGTAGGAGTGTCCGTATCATGTACGTTATTCCCATCAAAGATGAATCTGACGCTAGGCTGTTTCAAGCCCTGAAACAAATATAGCTTGTGTATGGGAAATTCTAACCAGTCTTTCACAATAAGCCATCATAAGCTTCCTTAAAGGAGTATTTTTCTTTATCTTGAAGTGAATGATTGAACCTTCTTGTCCTTGGACCTTCACATTAATGTGCTCTGATGGAGTATCCTAAGTATAAGATAATGCTCGATAACCAACATAAAGGGAAACCATCCAGTCTAGCACCCAAAACATACCTTATTAGCGGAATCAGCCATCCTGACAATCCGTAGGTTTTCGCGGTATTTCGGTAGCGCTCGCACAAACAAATACTTTGTATACCAGAGTCCGATATTAAATACCTTCGGTGTGAGTAATTTCCCACCCCTTCATCTAATTCCTACGACGGCAAGGAAGATATTTAGAGCTTTTCACAAAACACTTTTCTCAAGGAGAACACTGAAAAATTCATGATGACTTGCAACGTGCCTCAACATGCAGTCTTAGGCGCACTTCTCTTCTCACTCAGTGTGAATGAAGTGAACAGGACAGTTCCGTTCTCCATGTCCATGTTTGCGTGCGGCTGTGAAACCTAAAAGTCTAATTATGATGATGAGTGCTTTAGTAGATGAGTTCATGACATGGTGCCTAGAAGTAAATAACATCAAGAGCGTGTTCCTGCTGACAGATACGGTTACTTGACTAATGACACGTTACTGTCCACGGTAGATGAAGAGAATGACTTGGTGGGCATAAGTGGAAATGACCTTAGAGCCCCAGAAAACTTAAAAACAGCAGCTGTCGGAGGCTTACGAATGTTGTAGTCCATTTTGCAAGGCCTTTCACAGCCTTTGTGGCGGAATGTTTCAAGCCTTACACTGGACACCTGTAACAACCCGTCTGCAGTACAACACTTGTGGGACGGGCCTATACTTCGAATAAAGGCGAGCGCATTATAATTGATACAGACTAGAGACCAAGATCATCACTTAGGTCTGCAACTTCTCCTACGAGGAAAAGCCCGTTCGATTCAATCTTTTCACACTCTCTTACCACAGAATAAGGGTTGGTATCATTTTGACTCATGGCAACCTGAAAAAGGAGGTTGCAATAACTCATCTTACTTATTCCTCCCGTCTAGAAGTGATTGTTCTGGAAGACATTATCCAAGAGTTTATAAATACGGTCCAGTCGCCTACGTTGGAAAATAAGTTTTTCTCGTAGAGTTTGGAAGCGTTGGAACTCTTTTAGAGCACATGCCATCCTCACCCTGTGCAAATACTTTCAAAGCCAGACATCCACATCGCCACCGGCAAGGATTAATGTAGGTCATTTGTCCAGAGAACTCATACTGAATATTGCAGCCCCCAATGTATTTCCAGATTTTCCCGACCTATGGTGACACACAATCGATCTTCCTAGCACACCTTTGTTTGGAGGAAGCAACCTTGTTACCTGATAAGAGGATGTAAGTGTAGCGCCACACGCTTCTCAAGAATCAGTAGCCTAGGGTTTAACGAGATTCAACATTGACGCTGACCTTCATAGTTTAACTGGACTCGCTAAGCTGAAGGCATCCGGTCAAGCATCCACTCCATTCGGCACGCTGTCTTTTTACGTTGCACTGCTGGTAATCAACCCTCTAGCCAGTTATTTGGGACGCATCGGTATCTTGGCCCGACCTCACAAATATACTGTTCCATTCGACTATGTTATTGTGTTCTTTCCTGGTCTCGTATTCGTGGGTACATAACAAGTCCTAAATAAGCGTGCTAGAGAGCTGTTCAAGGTAAGAGCTGTTGTTTAAACATCCCCTACAATGGAAATAACGTAGAAGATACAGATTACAACAACAATGCAGTATTTTTCAGTCCTGTACAATTTGAAGTCGTGTAAAGTCCCACCAACTGCCCCATTGTATCTTGCCTGCGACCACGTGATCTCTTGATTGCCGATCCGGCTCGAATAGTCCCTGGTAAGGCCACGACTATTGAACTAAGTTGTCCATAACACTCCAGGAGAAAAGGTTCGTTGATCTACTGGCAAGGAAAACAAATGAATGGCTTATAATAGTGCCACCACATATGGTAGAAACGAAAACCTAAGATTTCCACATCACCGCTGGTGAATTTGTCACTCACGAGACCAAAATCGGGGAGTATCTGGTGCGTTGAACACGCTGTTTGTAGGCAACACCGAATCAACGGAATTAGTTCACATCTAACTGTTTACATCGATTATCCACGTGACTTACTCCCATGCTCACCCCAGTGAAAAAAGATGTTCACTCGAATTGATAACCTACAAGTAGTCATATCTAAATCAGTGAAAAAAAGGTTGATGATACCAGCAAATTGCGGGCTAAGCCAAAAGTTGATAAAATCAAAAGTTGGTGTGGAAGTTACACTTTGTACTGGCTTTGATTATCTTATATATTAGAACCAAGGGGGGGGGGGAGAAACGGTACTGTTTGAAAGATACCTCCTTTTTTAGCCTCTATTCTCCTTTCGGAAGATCAGAAGAAACTCCTAAAAATGTAATTTCATTTCATTGACCAGTCACGAGCACCAAATGACTTGGAACTATTTCTCGGCCAACCGATTATGTTGCTATTTACTGCTTATTTGTTCCTGGCCAACTTGTCACCAGCTTTATCACAGTTAGGTGTTGACCGCCTTTTATAACATGTATTTCGGTTACTGAAAGAGTTTGCCATCACGACTTACAGAACAAGTCTATGAATATGAAAATGTTGATGTAGTAGTGGTTTTGATACTTGCGATTCCCCGTTGCCACACACAACCGAATTGCCCGACCTCTGCCGGCATGGGGACTCCCATGTAGATGCTTCACTTCTGCCAGATATCCACGACGTACTGGACTCAAGTCTCAGTGGCAACACCATCACCCATCGAGGTGGAGTGGATCCAGTTGACAAGCCCCAGATAGGATGAAATCTACGTCCTGGATTCCGCTGCTACTCACCAAGATGAACATGGCACGATGACACGGCACTTGGTGAAATAACTTGGGGCCCGCAGCTAAGCTATGTGGCGGATTTCATTTTCCCCGTGCCGACTGTCTTCTGAAGGCATTTGAAAGGCTGACTTATTTCCCAGCACCCGCCACTGGTAGTGTCGGTATGAGAAATTAACAGTTATGGCGACTTCACGGCCAGTTCTTAGGGCTGGGTTCTGGCTTATTGGTTTTGCCAGTCTGGCGGGGAGAAAAGCTCTCCTGCCCTCTCGTCTTTAACTGTGATGATATGCGCCTCTTCTGAGTGTTTGTATTTGGGACTTGCATACTGGATCAGTTGAAAGGCTACAGGGTTCTTGCCACTTCCGCCTTCATAGACAGCTGGAGAAGGATGGGAGAATAGAGTTGAAAAATTATGCGGGACGTCCTCTGGGGTGCAGAAGAGTAATTCAACCAAGTGTTGGCAGCAGTGAGGAGGCCATAAACGGGGTGGACAGAGCAAAACAAGCAGGACGTAAATAATGCATGAATGAATATTAATAGGTAGTAGCTAAATAGGCTTTACAGATACTTAGCGAGAACGGCAATGTTTTGCGCAATCTATACGAAACAACAGCTTTTTGACCTTCCTTTGAAATATTTCCATAAAGAGGCTGCGACTAATTTCTGTGACACTTCATGATCTCTCATTTGCTGGTGAATTTCGCTTTTCATGTGGCTTGGATGTTAAATGATCTTGTAAGCAATTATCACATCATTTCTCTTTCTCTCTCTCCATGACAGCTGATGTAAATTGATTCAGACGGCTCAGTCTGTCTGGGTGTTTTCCTTTCATTAGTGACGAGTGATTTTTCACGGTTTTTAAGGTTTCTTAGAGAGTTTGGAGTCTCTCTCGGGCTCATGTGACATTATGTGATTGAGTAATTTTGGATATCCCCAAAATATCTTTCGAAGACTTTCAAGAAGAGACCTGGTGTCATAACATGGAGATATTTACGTAGAGAAAACATAGTGTGGCTAGCTCCTGCCCATATCTCTAAGTGTTTGGAGCTTGTGTTTAAAAAAATGGATGAATTGAGATTCGTATACTTAACGTCGAGCAGTTTTGGCGTTTTGCCTTACAAAGGCGCCTGACCTTTTTTACCCTGCCTTCCCTGCCACATAACCAGCACCCTACGAGGTTGAACCTCGAACCATTCTCCGATGGCAGTTGGGAAAATCAAACAGAGTAGTTATCGTGGCAATGGTCCTACGAAGTAACGCTGGATCCACACACTACTTTTCCAGTCGGTTCTTGATCATACCAATCTGCAAATTTCCTGCCGTGTCTGACTCCTTATAACTGTGTTCATAGTAATATATCAACCTATCTCATATTTTTGATTTACGGCTTCACTGTTCACCTCACGCACTATGTTACCAACTTTTCGGTATAACAACTACGCGTTGGCTGCTTTCCTACTTCAACACTGAGTTTCGATTTAACCGTCCTTTTAAATAGGATGATCTGAGGCTAAGTGCTCCAAAATGGACTACCGTAGTGAGAGAGAGAAAGGACTTGGTCACTCCAGTGACCTTTTATGTGACGGAAGCATTGTTACTCCGTATACCTCAGATCCCGATGAACTGCTATGCCCCACACCCTTCGTCAGAACTGAAGGCATCATATCGGTCATGAGTAGCAATACTAAGGACCACAGGAAAGAAATAGATTATATTAGGACCGTGATGGAATAAATTCAGAGAATACTCAGGGATTTCCGTCGATTAGCATATCTCATTTGGAAGGATGAGAATTTAGTCGAAAACCGTGTAGAGTAAGCAGATGTAATAGACTGTTTGGAGATGGAAGTAATCGACAGACTGTCGTCGTCTCAACCGGCCGCCGTTTATGACATGCTTGATACTCTACCCCTGGGTGTAGTTAAGGCAAAGGTGTTAAACTCGTGTGGTTTGACAAGAACACACCGTGACTGCAAGCGCCCTCGCAGAAAGTCGACACACTCCAATTGCCCCCCCCCATGATTCTCAAGTCCACTAATTCATTTGACGCCAAAAGATTTGTTAAACTTCAAGACCATATAAAGCTACGTAGCAACTTTAAAAATGTTACGATCGCACGAGACAAAACCGCCTACAGGGCAGAAAACAAAAAAGAAACAGTCTGTTCAGTTCATCGCCTTTAAGCTTAAAGGCTGCCATGTGCACGAACAGACCATCAGAAAGTGTTGATACCACTAGTAGTTCCGTTGAGTGTACCTCTTCCCCCGTACTGAGGTCTCATTCGGATCTAGGATTGAGC